AATAACATTAAAACTTTGTCAAACTATTCATATAACAATAAAGTCAAATAATGAAAAAAAATTTATTGTTGATGAATGATTCATACATTAATAAATGAAACATAAACTTAAAGTCATTTTTTTTATCTTCTTTCATATTTTCTGTTTGCATCATGATCAGTGTCCTTATTATGCAAACCATTATGAATAGCATTCATCACAACTGAACGATTTTTGTTATTAGGGTGCTTGACAAGGTAAGCCAACAAAAGAGACCGATCCAATTCCTCTACACACTGCAAAAGCAAATAATATTAAAAAAATACTTCTTGAGTATGAAATGAAACGTAAGAGACTTACCACTTCATGGTAGGTATTGAGGTGCACAGTTTGCATAAACTTGCATACATACATGCCACAATCATAGCTGCAAAAATTATAAATTTGAGAATCAAATTAAGATATATATTTTAATAAATTTTTGTCATAATTTAATAAAATTAAATAGTTTATTTTGCATTTACCTATTTGACTGTCGTGGAACATCATTGGGAACAACAATTTCCCAATAGGTTTCTTTACTAGCAAATAAAGTTCATTCGAAAATCTTTTCAAAATATGCGACCTACATAAATTTCAAATATATGTATATGAAAAAATCATACAATTTATATAATTTATTCATGTAAATTAAGATATTATGTTAAATTGATCGTTTACGACTTTTTTTATCGCATTCAATCTTCTGGTTTCACCATCGGATAATGGTAAAAAGTCAAACACTTTAATAACCTTCTCTTTTAAGTATAATATAAATAAATACCAATGCATATTACTGTCATTTATCGGCATAAAGATCTGAAAAAATACACAATATGAAATTCAAAATAATTAAAAACAATTACATGAATTAAAACTATTTTAATTATATATTTATCATTATACTACAATAAACTTATGTATATACAATTCATTTTTTTAAAATTATAATACTGCTTCCATTAAATAAGAGGAATAAAGAAATCCCCTTAACATTACAAAAGAGGCACCTTTGATCTATTGGATCATATGCCCACAAAAGCCATCAAGGTATACCCCTCCAATACAATATGTAATCAAACGAAAACTTACCCAAATCCTAGCTTTACGACTATGAAACTTAGATATAAAAAACCTATACCCCCTATCCACAAACAATTCGTAAATCAATGTTAAATTCTATACACAAAATAAAACAACATGAACAAATCATC